AACCACATATATCTTTTGTATTCTGGGCGCCGTCGTTTAAAGTTGCGATTGATCTAAACTGAGGAGCCTAATACTGCTTCTTGACCAAACCAACTTTACCTTGAAAGAAATTGACCACTTCGTATAAACAGTGGTGTACAAATGGATTATGGCGACCAGAGCAATCAATGATACTACGACAGCCCCCCCCCCCCCACTTCTCCCACTGCCAAACTAGATTTACTTAACCGAACAAGCGAGAGAGCAAAGCGACCGGCTTAGGGAAGTCTCAAGGGAGCTTAGCGATCGAGTATTAGGCCTATGTAGAGTTTCGCTTCTTGAACGTAGATAAGTGGTTTTCTATTCCTTTTCTTCAAAAGGTGAAGTTTTTTAAAAGGTTGAAAGTTGAATTTATTTAAAAAAGTTGAATCCCACTTTCGAAATGGATTAAAGCAATGGGAATTATATTTCGAAGTCGAATTTGGAACCATTTGATAACGCTATTTTCCCCCTGGAGCACAAAATTACGAGATCCGGTGCGACATAGTTATACGAGTCGCGTCCGAGCTTAGAAATGTTTCTATTTCTAATCCATTTTTACATTGCTCATTGGGGCGCATGTATACGCATGCTCTTGCCCCATACATATGTCACTGTAGGTATCCGATTAAGTGGAGGACCTTGGATTGAACAGGATTAATCACAACTCTTAATAAAAACACTGCTCTGGACTCATTCATGCTACTATATTTTCACTGATGATGTATATTGGTTTCCTGAAGAAAATAATACTTGTAAATGTCTAATTATTGTGTCAAAGTATATTTTAGGGATTTTATAAGGAGGGAAGTGATATACCAGCCTATCATTAATTTTGAATCCAATTCTTGTATTATCTTGATGTCACTTGATTTTAATAGGGGGGCATTTCAAAGAAGGTTAGGTGTAGGATAAACGTTCTGGACCACACCATGTACTATGTACATTATTTAGACTGCAAATCATGTCTTTCACATGGGATCAGGCCCTATTGTATGTATTATTTGGCTAAGCAAGTACAAATATAAATAAGTGGAAAATTGCAACCGGTCGCACTATAACTTGCCAATTTCAATAGTGCATTTCGAAATCGAACGGTAAGGTGACAAAATGGGATTTTGAAACACACCTCCCCAAAACTCATCTTTGCATTGAAAGATTAACAATAGTACAAATGTGTTTATTTAGGAAGATAAGTCACGTATTGAACAGTGCAACTGGAATGAGGAAGTTTATTTACACGAAAAATACATGAATGGTAACTAAGGGTGCGTTTATGCTCAGTGTTGAAGGCAGAAGCCGAGGGGGGCATTATGCCCCCCCCCCCCTCCACGATTTTTCGATTGCTCGGGAACGCATATGGATGGCGCCCCGCCGCTTCGAGTCTTGCGCAACTTTTAAAAGAATTTTTTTGAAAATCGGACGTACGGTTACAAGGTCACATGACCTTTTGTCTTTACATTGTGTACAAAACAAATGGAAAAGTCATTTTTCCTAAAAACAGATCAAACATGGGTTATTGGGTCTTGATTAAAGTTTAGGTGGTTGTTTTGGGAGTCAAAATAGTTGAAATGTAGTAAGAAATGAAATAAAACAACAAAAACAATGAAATACATAAGTTGATAAAACAATGAAATACATAAGAAATTATCAAAACAAAGGATAACATAAGGAATAAGCTGGCTCTTCCAATTTGTTTTGGTCGTATTATTATTCAGAGTGGTCTAATGAATATATGTAGTGAAAAAGAATGCTTAAATATGAATAATAGATGATTTATGGGTAAAAATGTGATTTTTATGACTTTATTTGCATAAATTACCATAAATATGCAAATGAGTGAATTTTTCAAAAAATTGAAATTATCATATTATTTTATACACTTCACTTGACATGTGTGCAAACTTTCGCGGCGATCGGCCACTTCGCGGCTGAGATCTTAAGGGGGGCCATAATGCCCCCCCCCCGGCCGTACTAAGATCTCAAATAGCCCGGCCTTTTTAGGGTTAAACACAACTCATGTTCGAAATATATCATATAAACATGAATTAAAATATCATAACAGGTTTAAATATACATAACATACAGAATTATGATATAAAATTGATGTACGTTGACTGTTTTTTAAAATTACTATTATGACATAATGAAATAGTTTAACCAAATTTCTTTTTATCAGTAATTAATCTCAATTTGGGGCTAGTATTTGTTGTATTAATATGCCGCTCATCGGTCAAGGATTAAATAGTAATATGTTTATTTATATAATGATACATGATTGATCAAAAAAATGTGTACATGCCTTTATTAAAAGCAACAATGTGTTCAAACAATCGCCTCAAAGAGTTAATGATTATGATACGGGGTGATGTATATAAATGATACATTGAACATGACTGATAAAGAAAATGTAGAATGGTTTTAAGCTCCCGGTATAACAACATCCATATTCACAGTATAAGAACAATATTTTCCATACATATTTGGGTCGTATACAGGACAATGACAAGTACGCACTAACCCCCGAAAGATTCCCCCACACCCCCACATAAATACACACGAACACAACACTACTACATGTAAACAACTGCAAAGCAATAAATGTACCGTATTTAATACAATGACGTCTGATTATGTATAACTAGTTAAAGGTCATTAAAAAAAGATTTTATTCACAGTTAACTTGAAAATTGAGGTGAAATTTATTTCCATCATCTTGACAATATATACAAAGATAAAACATGGAATTTCATAAACATGTAACAATATCAAAGTTACATATAAATTGACATATTAACAGCATTTAAAATATATAGAAAATAGAAAGGTTTAAACCATAGTACAAATGGAAAATGGTGCATCCGTAAAAGCCAGTAAGGCTTGACAATTGAATGCACCAGGCGCATAACTAATAATAACATAGGCTTGGAGGAAGAGAAAAAAAGGGGGAAAAAAGGGGGAGTATTAGTATTAGAGGTTTGGTCTTAAAATAAATTATGCATTATAAGGAGAGAGAAGATGTTTCTCTTCTTTGGAATGGATTATTAAATCTGACAGACTGTAAAAATGGAGGTAGGGAATTCCACATTTATGGACCAACATAACGGAGAGAATCGGTCAGTGTATTGGACGAAGCATTCCAATGATGGAATTTATCAGCATTTCTTGTGTAGTGGGTATGGACCGCATTGAAAAATCGTTGCATCAATGACGCAATTTGCAATTTATTAATATCATGAATATGTAAAGTATTAAATCTTCTAAATAAAGGTTGTGAGGGAGCTAAGAAAGGGGGATAAGAGCAGAGTCGTAATGTCCTTTTTTGAAGTCTATGTAATTTGAGTAACTTAGAGGGATGTTTTGTCACCCAAACAGAATTTCAATACATAATATATTGCAAAATAAATGCATTATAAAACGTGAAATAGATACGGAGTGGGATAACATATCTTAAGTGAATGATAATACCGACGCTCTGAGAAACCTTTTTTTGTAATATAATTAATATGGGAAGTCCAAGATAGGTTTTCATCGAAAAGTACTCCAAGGTAATTAAAAACTCTACACTGTTTAATTAATCTATTGTTGATTGAAATAGATACATTGTCTCAGGCAAGAATAGTCGCATCGTCTGCAAAAAGTGTCAATTTACATGTATTATGATGTATATCAAAACTAGCAGAGGCCCCAAAAAAGAGCCCTGAGGGACGCCATGTGATATATTTGATTAAAAAAAGACTACTTTCGTCAAGATAACTTTGAAACCATTTGCGAGGTAAACGTCCAACACCGTAAAAATTTAATTTAACTAATAATATATCATGGGGTATAGAAACGAAAGCTTTTTAAAAAAATCCATAAAAACACATATTGTATGATTATTTACATCAACATAATGGACAATTTAATCATATAAATCAAGAATGGCAAGACCTGTGGAAGAATTTTTTCCGAAAGCCATATTGTTCATTAGACAAAATGTTGAAACGAACCAAAAAACGTTATAGTCTATTAAAAACTAATCTTTCAAGTATTTTAGAAAAAGAAGGCAGAATGGAAATAGGACGGTAATTATCAACATTATATGTATCTCCCTTCTTAAACAAGGGAATTACTTTGGCGATTTTCATGTTTAAAGGAAAATCACAATTCTTGAGCGACAGATTACAAATATGTCTTAAAGGTACGAGTAAAAAATTGATTACAGACTGTAAAGATACTATGTCCCTTTTGCAGCCAACGTCAAATTCTATAGAATTTTGCAGGAATTATGAATATGTCATGTATGTCCTATCTGTGAAATTTAAACGTTGGCATGAATTGCAGTGTCCTAATACTCAAATTATGCAAGGAAACCCGTTTACTTGCTAGACTTCACTGTCAGACACTATTGAGTGACTGCCTGACCCTTTTCTTCTTTGGTAATAACATAGATAAAACGAGCTGTACGAGGTACATGATCATTTGTCTCAATCAATAACCCACTACTTGTAATGGCCAACATTTAACTGATTGAATCTTTGCGCAGCATAAAACGTACGACCATCCGCTACAATGATCTGAAAATCAGACTATTACTTACTGGCTCTATAGCTCTTAAGTCGATTCGACAACTAAAAATCGTTATTTCCCCACTTAAAGACATTTCCAATTTTGTTTTAGGAAAGTTCTAAATCAGTATTATCTTTCAAATGCCGTTGGAATTTAACCTTTTTATTTTTTGGACCTGCAAATGGAAATAGTACCTTTAAAAGACGTGTACTTATGTTATCATACCCTGAACTGTTCCCACTAGGCAATTTTTTAACAATATTTAACATTTCAGTGACAGTTACTGGTTTGAAAAATAAACTGTGAACAAAGTTACCTTTTCAAAAATCAGAGAATGAATGATTATAGTCAGGAATGGACTAAATAAGGTTTTCTCCAATGTTGACAAAATGTCATGAAAATATTTGCACTATCTTTTGGTTCATTTACAGTTTTTCCTTTGTATTGCAGCGTTTGATTACAATATTTCAATCAAAGCAGTGCATTCACAGTACTAAGAGTAGAACTGTATTTGTTTGATACAACATATTCTTCATAACTTTTCTAAATTCTTTGTGGAAAAGTAATGCCTTTTTCCCTGTTAATTTTGCCAATGTTTAGCATTTAATTAAGACATTTTGAGAGATTTTGTATTGCCTTCGAAACAGAATTACTCAATTAATCTATGATATTGTTCTCTGTAATTGAAAATCAAGAGACAAACAATTACTGAGAAGCAAATTTGAGTTTTTATAAAGCTTCCAGTTGTCTTAATTTGGGGTTAGTACAAATTCATAATCAGCACCGTCTTTTCTTGTGTTTGCAAACTGCGCAACATTCTGGTTCTCATAATCCAGGTTTGGTGATTGTAGACTTTTTTCTCTTGCTTTTTGGGACGAAGTCGATGAGGTAATAGCGATCTCCTGGTATGTGTTGTCTGCCTCGGGTCTGGGTTTTAGATCCATGTAAGGATCTTGTCTGTTCTTTTCAGTCCTGGCTGGTACTTTGCTTCTGTTACATGAAAATAGTCACATGAATAAATCCATTTTAATCCACATTCACCACTCTCCACCCATGTGTTTAATGGGTACCCGGTAGGATGCAAAAGTCATTGTTGTTTCAGTGCTTAGCATTGTGAGAGTTTTTGAAATAGCGCCTGCCTGAAATGCTCTCCATGGAGTGAAGAAAGTTGTCTGTAAAGTTCTTGATTGAGAAGACTCAAGTTTAATGGAACTTGTTTCCCAATGAATGTTCTTTGCACAATATTGCCCGTAAAGTTGGAATAATAGTTTTACTCTCCTTTTTTCAAGAAATCAATCTGATAATATGGTCTACTCTTGATAGATAAAATTTATTTTCACTCCCAACTTTATTGATTATTTTAAAGAGTCGTAGAGATTGATCAATATAGCTCTGAGAAGGTACACGTATAAACTGTATAATTAAACGAATAATTCCTATTGTCATTTATTTCACGGAAAAGGGTAAAATAAATCACAGGGCAAATAATTAAATCTCTAAATCAATGAATAAACTTCATGATGAATACAATCGAAGATACAGTAGTCTTCAAACTAAACTGCATTAGAAAGGAATGTCGCCATGTTCAAAATTATTGCAGATTCGAAAAGAACCAATTTATGATTTCTTTAAATCTGAATAGAAACAACTTCAACGGTTGAAGTGTGACACTGTTTCGAATGTTTATTCGAAGGTCTAACAACCTTATACCTGATGAAAATTTTCATGAAAAAACTCATGATTTGTATCGTGTATACTAGGAGACAGATTTTTAATGGTAGTATCTTTCTTCAGTTGTTCATTTCGTCTATTCATAACTCGTACAAGGTGAAATACAGGGCTAAAATTAATTACTAAAACCTTAAATTACCTGAGCTGAATTAGCAAGAAAGTAATAGCAACTGCATACAGCAACACGACTACAACAACTACAATCAGGCCGATTTCTAATCCTGAAACACGATCATCTGCCAATGAAAGAGGAAACAACAAACAAGCATTTGATTCTCCATTTTTTTAAAACCAGTGTTTCAACAAATATTCATAATTTGAATAATATTACTTAGCAAAATGATCTATTTTATCCTTATAGATAAAGAAGCGCAATCTGTTTAGGGCTTCAATATTACATCATATCACATACACTGATAACACGTAAGGCCGTGCATCTCAAATTTAAGATTGTTAAACGATGCCTTTAACTTGTTCTAGGACAATTACCCCAAGGACAATTATCCCACATAGACAATTACCTCCCGGCCAATTACCAACGGGACATTTATCCCACAATAGACAATTATCTCCCAGAAATTATCCCCAGGAAGAATACCCCCAAGACACCCTCCCCCCCCCCCCCTTCCAGGACAATTACCCCCGAATTAATTTAAAACCTACTTGTTATAGGGCCGCACTTCTACTGATAATTTACAGGGGGGGTAATTATCCTCGGGTGGTTGACCTTGGTTCTCCTTGTTTGGTTTGGTTTGGTTTGGTTTGGTTTGGTTTTATTTTCCGTATAATAATTCAAATACGTACAAAAATACAATTTACAAATATAATACAAATCAAGAATTAAAAACGGCTGGAATGCTCTATTCACAGCCATTGTTAAAATGACGCCAGGTTGGAGTGGGGAGAATTGTACTAGGGGTAATTTTCAGGGGATGGGGGGGGGGGGGGTAATTTTCTTATGGGTTATTTTCCGGGGGACAATTGTCATCGGGAGGTGGCTTTCCTTGGGCGTAAATTTCTGTGGAGTGTTTTTGTTCTTCGGGGGGTAATTTTCCGGGGCCATTATCCAGGGGGTAATCGCCATAAGTCATTTACCATGTCATTCATGAGACATGAAGAGAACAAAAACCATACAGAAATTAAGGAGAAGAAGAAGAAAATGATATAGATTCTGACGAAATCATCCTCGATAACGATAGCATAATGGATCTTACCACTTGGTAGCGTTCTGGTCTGAATAGAGATGCAGGGACCCGGTCCACCGACTGTCCTTGGACAGACAGTAAACTCATACATCACGTAATGTTGTAAATCCTCAAAAGATTTACTTGTCATCACAAGGTTTTCCCTTTGCACATCTTCCTCTCCCGTTTCACCGAATTCGTAGTCGTAACTTAAGGCTCCGTTCCGGTCTCCGCATGAAGGACTGCTCCAGGAATAATCCAATTTGCCCTTCACGGTGTTATCCACAATGAAGTCTTCAGGTGGCGCAGTTGAAACTATTCAGTGGAAAACGTTACAAATCGAATATCGTGTAGTTACTATATAAAAATATCATACTGATGTACAAAGTAACACCTTGTTTCCCGGACGTTAGTGTAACTATGACTGGTTTATCCAGCAGCCTTCTTTACCGTGCGTCCATTTGTGGCAAATGTAGGGGAAAAAATTGTGAAGCCAGATATACCTTTTTATATCAAAAGACCGATCTCTAACGTCTCTATCCGAAAAATACATCTGATTGAAGGGGGTAGAATCCGGCTTAAATAACATTGCGGGGCACAGTAGAGTTTAGTTCAGGAAAGTGTAAATGCATGAGTGGCTGAATCTGCCAGGACTTTTGAATTATTTGTATAAGGGTAGCCACCACTCCCTTTTTCACGTGGTTTTCTGTCTTTGTGTTTATTGGATCATGTTTTGATATAAACATGTACTAGTGATCAAATAGAAACCGGGAAGATTATATTCTGGCAAGAGACGCAAACCCATAATGGGAAATATCGCAGAAATCCGGCGACCGCTTCACCCCTAGAGTTTATTAAACGTAAGGCGACCTCACACCCGACGCACGGGCGCCATGGAATCGCTCTACGGCATGTCTACGGCGAACCTAGAAATGAAAACAGTTATAAAATCGCGTTATAATCCCACGGCGACTCGTACGGCCTGTAAAGATAGGGAGGTGCCCTAAGATGACCCTAAGGCCGCAGCAGATTCTCTGCGGCCGCCGCAAGTATCTGTCGATTTCGGGGGCGTACTGTCGCCGCATCCTAGCCGTAGAGCAAATGTGACCTAGGCATAAGCAAGATACCGCTGACACCTGACCTGGGAGAAGATATCATTAATGAGAGAACAAATTTCGAACACAGCTACCTAGATGTCTTCGGGTTGCCGGGAGAGTAAAGATTTATGCTCAAGACATTTCATGTTTGGATAATTGATGGAAAGTGCACTGTAAATACATTAAAAACCTTTGCTTAATATGTGTCTTTGACTTACTTGACTCAGTTGAGTTGTATGCGATGAAATAGCCTGTTTCTGCATCATAGCCTTCCAGAGTCGAGAGAATAGTAAATTCGTAGGTAGAGTAAGGAAACAGGTCTTCATACTCAATGCTTGTATCGCCTGTTACCTCCCACGTTACTGTATCCGCCATAGAATCGTCGCATTGGTCAATGAGGACGAGCCTACGTGATACGTTGTAGCTCGGAGCACCGCATTGGCTGAATGGCTCTGACCACGTGATCTCCAGGTGGTTGTACGAATCAGAAGTGACGTCAGCACTATCCACTGGTTGAGGAGCTGTGGGCAATACACAAGAATGGGGGGAATTGTTTGAAGGCCTATATAGGTATTGGCTTTTTAGGTATTGTTGGAAAATGTATACACAACTTCATGTTCATCATTCTATACAAGACAAAAGAAATTAAAATTCAAGTTTCACGGCCTCTACTACTTTGTTTCACAGAAAGTTAATCAGATTTGAAAAATCGAAAGCCCGTAGTTCGTAGACATGTCGTAAGGGTCATTGCACAATCATCGCATCGGAACCGCGCGGAGGACTCGCGCTGATCGTGCAGCAAACGCACGATTTTTCGGTGAACTTGGAGGTAAAAAAAGGCTTAAAAACGGCAGGGCGGCTGCACGGTAAACGCACCTTCTATGCGCAACCTTTGCACGGGCTCCGTACGATTTCCGGCGACTGTACGGCTACTGCATTGAAATTGCACGATTACCGTACAATCTCTGAGCAGGCTCCGTACGGATTTGCCCCTGCCTGCCCCCGAGGGCCAATACAAGAAATGTCAGGATGCTAAAAAAAATCGCACAAAAAATCGTAGACTAATTTATCGTACGGCGACCGGGGCAAATGTTATCCAGGCATAAGAGCTATTCATTTATAGTGGCAGCAAGGCCCTTCTTGTAGGCAGCCGACTTCATATAGGGTAGGTGCAGGGAATTGGAGACCCTTCAGCTCATTTACATAATTTACATAAACATGAAAAATGTTACACATACAAAAAGTTTTGTATTCTCTTCAGTAACTTCTTCTCTTTATTTGGTAACAAAATTGTGGGAATGATGAAACTGATTAATAAGATAACATTGATTAATGACGTCAGCACCAAAGTTGTCTCACTACCTACATGTGCAGGTAATAAGGGACAGTTACAAATCAAGACATTTTAAATACAATTTGAACGAAAATGGGATTGTTATGGTTACTTCAAACACTTTTTGAAAGAGATACATGCAGCCAATGAACTTACTTTAATTTTGAAACGATTTTAAAACATTGTGGCCCAAAATATTTCTTTACATGGACAATTAATAACCAACCAGCATCGGGTCATTGACTGTCCTCGGCATACTCAACATTCACAACAAACGACCCCCATCTCTCTCTCTCCCTCTTTCTCTCTCTTCAAACTTCTCTCCTTCTTTTTTTCTTTTAACCTTCCCTTTTCTCTCTTCTAGCATGTACTTGTATGATTATTATTGTTGTCTCGCCGAAATCTGACTCTCTTAATTTTCATTAATGTAATACATGTAATTTAATAGGAATAAAATGTTTATGTAATTATGATCATTTCCATTCCCTGCTCTCTCTCTCCCTCTCTCTCTCTCTCTCTCTCTCTCTCTATCTCTTTCTTCCTTTCTCTCTTTGTACCTCCCCTTTTCTCCCATGCTCTCTCTCTCTCTACTCCATTCGCTTTATCACTCTCACTTTCATGAGCCATATATATTCCCCTGCTCTTGTATATCTTTTGCTAGTACATCCTTTCACGTAATGTACATAAACGAACGCAATATAATTATGCTGTATTGTCATTATGTTACAGATTTATTTACTATGTTTCGTAATACTATTGTACATGTATATAATTTACATCACTGTACCTTTGTGAATTGACCCTTTTAGCATTGTGCTGCTGGTCAATCATTATATACCAATAAATTAATAATAATAATAATAATAATAAATCATGGACCTTGTTTCCCCCATTGCCTGCACACATTTCTGATCAGACACAATTCATAATGTGATGTGCAACACCCATTCAAAACATACATTGGCCATAAATTTTCTATGATGGTTGGCACACTTCATAAACTTTATTTTAAAACTACATTTTAAGAGCCACCCCTAAATGTCTGCATACACCACAACATTCAGTGAAAATTGTGTTTTTATATCAGAGCTAAATTTTACGATCAAAATTGGTTACCTTGGTCAATTTTACCAATTTTCTCGGAGAAAGAACACATTGTAGTCTTCAAAATGAATTGGATATATGCAGTTGTGTTGTTAAAGGCCACAAATGGCGCTATAGCTATATTGGAGCCAACACGGACAGAAAGTGATGGGTTCAAGCTTGGTGGTCTCCAATTCCATGCGGTCTCTAATTCACTGCACCTACCCAACATGTATATTGGTATAGAATCTACATCGAGCGCCTGCGTGTCCACAATAATTTGTGTGGCAATTTCATATTCTTTTAGAAAAGAATAAATAATCTCCAAAAGTTACTTAAGATTATATTTAAGAAATACTGGGAATTCGTCCTCTGTAATAATGAAAAATGAAAAAAGGAGGAAGAAGAAAAAAGATAGGGAGAGAGGAAAAGGGACACACGCCCTCTAAGGACAATGCAAGTATCTCCATCCCTTCGCCCCCCCCCCCCCCCCGATGACATCAGTGTCCCCCTAATGATTAAATTCACGCTACGATTGCGGGTTGGGATATAATGTTAGTAGGGATACCTACCCTGACAGTATGGTTTGACACTGATTGGACCACTCCTCACACCGGCTACAACCTGACCCTCGACCTCTCTTCTAACACTGACGTAGAAATGGTAGTCTCTGAAACCGGAAAGCCCTGTGATTTCAGCAGTACTATCTCCAGTGATAATTACAGGTACTTCGGATTCACCAGTGTTGTCTTTATCTTTCGTCCATGTGTAGTCAATCTGATAGGAGTGTACAGGGCCATTGCCGTAGTCGTAACCATCTGTCCAGGCATTCCAAATGAGCATGACCGAATCTTTGGTGACGTCAGACACCCAAGATGATTCAAGCAGTCGTGGAAGAGCTGTTTGGGTTGATAACAATTTTCTGATTACTTTCTTGGACCTACTCTCTAATCGATATTTAATTTTTCGACAAAGCTCTTTTAAAATCGTGCAGATGAGTTTTTAGTGCCCTAATGCGATGAATTATATGATAGATTTACATGTATCACTATAATATATATATATATATATATGCGTGTTACATATATTTATATTTATATACCTCTTTAGAAGTCTAGCCATCTGATTGGTGAAAATAGCAGTCGTGAATTGAGATATTCCCGCCTACCAGTCAATAGTCTTCTGGAAAAGTGCCTTCGTACCCGCCTACCGGTCAATAGTCTTTTTTAAAGATGCCCGTAGCCCGGGTAACAGGCCGCATAAATAAATTGTGCTCAGATCCCCATTGGTTTACGTGTTAAAATTGTCTTTATACGAGCGCGGACACCATACAGTGCTTGAAACTTTCAGTCATTTTTTCAGTGCAGATTAACAGACAGTGTCTCAGATTTCCCGTGATATTTCAACCGATCTTTACGCAATACAAGGATAAGGTAAGAATGCTTAGTAAACGTTTGTTTTAATTCGGCATTTAAAAGACATATCGACTGCTTTAAAGGGACTTAATAACATTGTTCAGATGAGAGAAAATGGTGCTAAGGTAGTGACTTCAATGCTAGATGTACACTAAAAGATGATCTGAAAGTTTGAGTGAAAAACGGACCATTATTAACCATACAATTTGGGAAAAACTGGTCTGATCGATTCCTTAATATTCCCAACTATATTATTACAATTTAATTACATTTTAGGTGAATATAAATCACCGCAGAGCAATGAATTGGCTCTATATTCCATTCCAGACATGTAAGTGTTCACAGATTTTTTTTATAGCCTGTTTTATGTCTTATTTTCAAGGAAAAACCGTTGGGAAAATTCAAAAATAGTTGGGAGAATTTACTGCTAATCACTGTTAGAAGGTGTTGCACAGTGACAGTTTTTTTTATGAACCTTCAACAATGTTACTGATTCGTGGTTTGGCTGTTTTGTAGGCTCTCGGGAACTAGCACATCGGCGCGCCGAGGGTCATGGTAGGATGTGCGCGCGTTCCCATGAGCCTATAAAACAGCTAGGCCTCTCAAAGCAGTCGATATCTCTCTACTATATACCAAGCATTATTATTAATGTACTTTCTACAATGTATTATACTATATATATATATATATATATATATATATATATGCATGAATGCGTGCGTGTGTGTGTGTGTGTGTTTGTGTGTGTACACAGGTGTTTTTGAATAGTTGTGGTAATGGAACTGCATTGCTACAGAAATAAGAATAGTTGTCGAAAGTCCGCATACTGTCAAGCAAAGTAACATACTATAAAATGATTATCAAAACTTATTTTCGTTTGTTCCATTTTGAATACCACTTTAAAGGACAACCTCTTCAATCCAAGAGATTTAAGATAAATTGGTAACATTTGATAAGTTTACGATACTTCTTCACAAGGAAAAAGGAGGGAAAAATAGGCTCATGAAAATAATGGTAATGCTCACAAGCATTAACGAAGTAATATCGTGAGGTTCTTGTTTTAGATCAAAGGCAACAGACTTGTTTACAGTCCTGTAATCTCTTTTTTTTAATCGAACAAAGATAAATCAATGTGCATGTAATAAAATATGAGAGAAATGGTCTCCCATAAGCTACATGTGATTGATTAATTGTATCCCTAGTCTAAACATTGCTTCATCTTGTCTACTGCAAGTTCTACTATCTTTCCTTTTGGAATTTCCCTTCTTTCCCGAGATACTCCTTTCCTTACCTTGTTGACAGTCTGATCCTGCCCATCCCTCAGCACACGTGACTCCATTTGGACAATGACCATTGGTCCTTTGACAGTCCACACCACCAGCACATTGACATGGATAGCTACAAAGGGTACCAAAATACCCGGATGGACAAGAGAGGTCCGATCTCAAGGCTAAAGAAAACAAGCAAACAAAGCAAAATCATGAAAAGATATGTGACTGACATAAAACTGTTTCTTTCAAACGAAATGGTGCCAAAGAAAAAATAATGTGTTAATATGTCCTTAAACGATGCTGCCTGTAGGGGGCTTTTGTGACAATGAATTATTCGATAATTGGCATTTCGACATTCCATTTTTGCACTACATGACTTAAGAAAAATTACTCTAAAAATATTATATATACATTTGATTGTATTTTTCTAATGATTTTCCAACAATGCATTGAGACAAATATTTATGACTATACAAAATATAGTTGCTCATATTTCTTTTAGATTATGATTATACATTATTAATATACAGTAGGTTTGCGGTTGCACCATGTGTGTGAGAGAGAGATTTGAGGAGTCCTGAAAAGGACTCTGACTCGGTAATCTTTCTTGGAGGAGTGTAGTCCTGAAAAGGACTGTTTGTTATCTTTCTTAGCATATAGTTCTCAGGAGAACTATAGCGCTTGGAGAGGATGAGTGGCTCGACGTTTCGAACAGTGGCTCGACGTTTCGAACAGGTTGACTATCCGTCGTCAGGAGTACAAGCTACATTATTAATGTTGCCCTCATATTTCAGTCCATACATGGTCAGCGGATTATAGCCCCACTGTTCTACAAGTGCTACCTCTAGTGCCAACTTAGGTCGTCTGTTGCAGTGTGGTTCCGTAACTTGCTGCGATGTTGGTTCTACTGAACACTATATAACGTAATGTAGAGTTCAGTGGGTTACGCACTAGGGCAGGAAGTACATCAGTTCAATATCGCTTTAACAGCAGAGACATTGCATCCCCACTAGATCACATTAAAATATAATAATTTAGAAGGACGATCACGAAACATTCTCCAAAGCTTACCTTGACAGTAGGTACCCTCATAGCTGTCTGAACATGTGCCTCCACATCCATTCACACGGTCGCACGTACCATCACAGTTACAATCCAGTTCACAACTAGCACCAAAATGATCACCGGTGCAAGCTTTCGGGAAATATTGAAATATTGTGCCAATGATTAGTATTTGACATTTGCATAAGTGTATCATCCACTGTCATCTTCACCAACCATCCGATGACACCTTGTAATAGGTATATACAAAATATATACTTTTGTGATCTAGAACAACAAAATATGACTCCATTTTCGGTTAGATGGAAACATCAGAGTAAATTGTATTTTGATTTCTCTTGAAACCTTTTGAATTATGAACATTTTCCATTAAATTTATGTTGGATTGCAACCACAAAAAACAGTGCTGTTTATGAAGCTATACTGAAATTTGTAGACAAGGCCAGAGCAATATTTAATGCCGTTTTTATGTTAACGACATAAATAAAAAGTGAAATGTCAAGAAACATACGAATGATGCAGTATAAATAAATAATATACATGTCTGTTTGTACACTGCCAATTAAAGGAAAATGTTGCCAGAAAGCCGTTAATTTATTGTTGTTTTAATTCCATTAGACTATTGTGCAGATTGCATATCTAATCAAAATTATGAAAAATGTACGAATCAACTAGATAGGGGAAATCTTTGTTTTAGATTATTATCATAACAGGGTAAGAGCAGTACTAAGTTAACCAAGCAAGTTTTAAGAAAAAGAAAACATTTTGTTTTTAGAAACACTACTTTTAGTCTTGAGACACGTTTTTGTTCATATACTACTTTTTATCTAAAACTTTCACAAAAAACATTTTCCTGTCCATTTCTAATTTTGGCGACTTGACAACCAAAATTAATTCTTTATTTGTCATCTGTAACTTTGTATGTATGATATCTATGCTTTAACATACCTGTTTGACACCTGTTTCCTCCAAATCCATTGATACAAGCCATCCCGACAGGGTTTGGTGGTGAAAATAACCGGTTTGGGCAGCCGGGGTTACCTCTAGAGCAAACCACACTACATGATTTTCCCCAGTTGTTGTCACCGCAGGCTGGTGAATGGAATGGCGTTTGCATGACCATGAAAACAAAGAAGAAAAGAAAGATTATTTGTTACATTTCAAGTGACACTGCACTGATGAACTTTCTGCCCTAGCGTATTGTTTATTGTACAGCACCATCTCATAGTAAACTTGCCAACGGTCCATAACCTAATTCTCACTTCGCAGATAGACCTACAGCTGACCTGAGACGGCGCTAGAAACAATTCTGCTGTAGTACTTTTAGTGGTAAAGGCCATATCTGTACGGGAGCCTATTCGCATACAAGCTATGCTTTTTATTTTGGATCCCTACATTTTACATTGCTTTTACTTTGCCTGTTATATCTACATATTTCGAAATTTCGTACTTATTTTCCGTACATTATACTTGATTTGAAATCTGTAATAAAATAAAAAAATTCTTGTGTAAAATCTACTTTTACATACAAATATAGGCCTGTATACAAAAAAAAAAAAAAAAAAATTATGTAAAATGTGGAATAAATAAAGTTCTTAACTTCTTATATCCGATATCCGGAACAACTTCACATTAATAGAAATACAAACGTGAAGGAAAAACACATAATTACCACTTCAGTAAATACACAAAAGCAAATTAAAACCTCATTTTCGCACTAAAAACGGTATGATTGATAATATGTAATCTATGGCTAATGAGCTTTCCGTTGATATATAATTCATCTATTTCATGTTTTACTTCCAGCAGGGTCTTTAATGACGTATTTTTATCTCGACGTTACAATTTCCAAAAACTACCTTACAATATCTGCGACCACGATTTTGCAGTTTCGAATATTTCGAAATTATTACGACGCAGTTCTTTTACAGTAATGCTTATTACAAGTTGTAATTCGAAAGGGTTGCAAAAGATGAAGGCCTTTTATACAAATGAAATACAAGAGCAAAAAATCTTAATCAGTGCACCAGTTCATATAATAACTATTAAAAAAATAATTACGCATTTCACAGTTATCTCCTTGGAATCCTGATCGACATACACAATCTCCAGTGACGTCATGACATACCCCACCAGCGTAACACACGGGACAGTTCTGTGAGCAATCCAGACCGTACTTGGAAGATGGGCAACCTTAAAACAGAATGTAGGAAGACAAACCATGACATTTAATCATCTGGTACCCACGTGAGGTCTAAGCAATACACTGCAGCTTACTGTGAACGGTGGCCATGATGACGCAATTCTAGATATGATCCTATCGTGATGCGAGTTCAAGATCAAGAATGACAGGGGACGCTAGGACTTGCTGGTGTCCTCATCTGTAAATGGGATGTTGCTTATATTGTATGGTCTTGATTTTAACGGAAAATCGGTAAAACGATTTTTACAATATATATTTCACTATAGACATCTGACAAAGATTAATCTTTGCATTACATAGAGGGGCGGATCTAGCTTTTTGCCAAGGGGGGGGGGGGGGGTTGACCCCCAAAAATCAAAAAATCGCGCCGTTTTACTGTTTTACTTTTTTGTTCACTTGGCCGTCCAAGGGGGGGGGGGGGGGGGGGTTAACCGCCCAAACACCCTAGATCCGCCCCTGACATATTTTACTGTACGCCGTTATTCAAGAAAAAAATAATACTTTGATGTATCGTTTGCAGTGTGCTGATATAGGAGGTACTTTCCGACGGTTTGTAATTCTGAAGATTTGTAATTTCGAAACATAAATTTTCCATTCCAAGGGTTCATTATTCCGAACATTTGTTTCGTTATTCAGAAGGTTCGTTTATTCAATGGTTCATAAATCTGAAAGTGAAATTGTGTTCGTTATTCCGAAATTGAAATAGGGTTTATACCGACAGAAAAAGAGATATAGGATTTGCTATTCCGAAAAGTTCGTCATTCCAAAAATACTATAGGCCTTCAGGATTTCTTGTCATTTTCGGAATTATAAACCTTCGGAATTATTAACCTTTTATGAAACCTCGTAAGAGTACATGCAACCGGTGCAGTAAGTCGGCAGAATGTTTAAGAAGTGTAGAGGTATTGAATTATGACGGTACCAATCTTCGTTTACTTACTTCTTACGATTAGCTTAAGAATAGCATGTTTTCCTGTTTCTCTGTTACCATCGACGTAGCACTCGTAGATTCCTTCATCTGACTTCCTGACGTCATAGATGGAAACTGACGTCAGTCCATCCCATTTGGTGATTTCACTTCCTCCGTTGTGTCGCCATCTCAAAGATGAAGTGTCTCCAGACTGTGTCGCCAACACGCCGAGAGTGACGATCTCAGCAATCCCTACCGTAATTGATAATTTCTCAGGCCAAACCTCTGAATTAGAATCTGACGATAAAGAGGAAGAATGTAATAGGTTGCATGTGCTTAATGTACATGCACTTTTGGTACACAAACATTGTAATGGGAACGTTTCAACACTTCTACTTTTTAAGAGTTGCTTAGGCCTAAAGAGTCCGTCAGAGGTTCAAGTGTACAATTCTTTACATATTTGGTAATTTCGTTTCTGCTATATTTATGCTCATCTTTAACCAGTGGCATTTTCAACACCCTATTGAACATCCTATAGAATCATGTTCGAACTACGTAATACGTCATGATTGTCAAGTTCGCTAATTGCAATAGGTGACGCACAAGGAATTCGCGCAACAATACAAGATTCGTCTTATTGCATGATTATAATCTGGAGTCTATTCTCCTATTCGATATCCGTATGCATCTACCGAATAAACAAAGTAAAAGTACAAATTAGACCTATATAATTGAGCCCTTCTTTAAAATATATAAATAAAATCCAACAGATCGATTACTTATTCCTTGTGTAGCAATCCACAAAGAACGAATTTGATTACGATTATCACTTTTCTTTGGTAAACTGGCAATAATTTAGTATAAAACCTATGCGTGCTACATGTATCAAAGAACCATACCACCGCGAAATTCGTTCAGCAAGACATTTCGCTCGGTCCATCCCTTGTAATCGACGGACATTCGGTATGCACCGACACGTGCATCTCCGCCACTCGTTTTATCAATATTAGCTCTGAATGAGTCCTGCCGGCTGGTGTCATATTTAATAAACTGTGTTCCTGGAGGCAGCCCTGTGTCTCCCCATTCTTGTGTTATCACTCCGCCGTCCACATTAAAGTAAGCTCCGTGACCAGTCTCTCCTGGTCCCGTGTCCACGTCTCGTCCGATGTAATACGTCAAGGAAAGATCTCCGGTTACATTACTATCCCCAATCATGAATATACCAAGGAAATTATCGCCAGTCGTGCCATCAAAGACACCTCCTTGTTTTAACAAGGCTGTGATGTCCAAAACAGTCACTGCAGTAGAAAATAAAATGTGAAACCGCGAAGTAGTTCTTCAGATAACAACATTTTTCAAGTACACAATGGTACAATTGATATCTCAACTCGAAAAGTTAAAGAAGTGTTCCCATAATATCTAAAACAATATTTGCGGAATAGAAACGTCTTAAATTGTAATGGATGTACAGGCAAATAATAGCGTTGCATGGTTTTACCCAGTGGCGTACGCAGGATTTTTTTTTAAAGGGGGGTGTTTTAAAATGTGAAAATCGCGCCGAAAATTTCGCAACGACTCAGCCAGCCGCTGAATAAGTGTGTGTGTGTGTGTGTGTGTGGGGGGGAGGGGGGGGGTCAGAGAACTCTGTTTTCCCCTTTTTTTGCTCTGGAAATTAGATGGAGGAGGGGGATACTCATTTTTGTCCTTTTTAAAACAATCAACAACATTTGAGTGGGGGTTTACCTCCACCCTGAGTACGGGTCTGGTTTTACCCCATATTTGTGAAATTACGTGCGATTACTAAACGACCTAAAAGAAGGACATGATTTCAATGTTTGGTTCCTACATAATCATATTAGATTTAGCACGAGTTCGTTCATAATCATAAGTCATTTCAAGTGCTCTGAATTGAAAAAATAACATAAAATAGACTTTATAATAAAACATGTATAATAATAATAATAATAATCCGTTTTTTATATAGAATTGCTGTATTTTCTCAACACGCCTCTACATCCCCACCCAAAAGAAAAATTCACTGATTTTCATGAAATTGATTGATTTCTACAAAATTAAAATATATTTCATGATATCGGCCTACCTATACAGATTGTTAAACTTTTTTTAAAGGTAGGAATAATATAACTCCACTGCTGAATTTGAAAGTCGGCGGGTTCCCTTTTTGTTTGTTGTTCTTGTTTTGTAAACTGTACGAGAAAGCGTACGAAAAATGTGAAACCTTGAGGACCCTAACTTCTGCTCGTCTGCCATTTAGGTTACCCCATTACATTTCATTAATTTATGCAATTTCTTAATAGTCTCTATCAGTACAACTTAGACACGGTCACAATTCAAATTTGAGCACTTTCTTTGTGACCATTTACCTTGGCATTGATCTCCAATCCAGCCATCTTCGCACCCACCGGAACAGGCCCCCGTACGAAGGTCACATGATCCTGTAGAGTCGCAGTGACATGTCTCAGTGCATCCTGCGCCATACGAACCATCAGGACATGCTTTAAGGAGATAAAAGAGATAACCAGCGAGAAGAAAAGAGGATCAGTAGGGGTTAAAGGAGGGGAGGTTATGGGAATTCACTAACCCCAAAACGAATTATTCAATCCCCGACCCCTTCCCCCCCCCCCCCGAAAAATTGAAGAATTCATTGAATGTTGTGAGGACCAAAAATTTGTGTAACCTAGCCAGTGCCGGGGTAATATTGAAGCACCATGAGCATCTTGCATGGTCATGATGGTGGATATGTGCTCAATAATATTGAAGAATGTTATGATATTAATATTATCATCAACATTATAATTCTATATTTTTTTAAATTATAGTTGTCATTTAATCATTATTATCATTATAATTATCATTAGTAGTATTATTAGTATCATCGTTGTTGTTGTTATTATCATGATAATCTTCATCAGTGGACCTCTATGAAGAAACATAGTGGTATATAAGTATAAGTATAAGTAGTGGTAAATAAATAACACACTAGAGGTAAACAAATATATAACAAGTAAAATATCAACATCATCAATATTATTATTGCGATTATTATCGTTGTAATCATTTTCATCATAATTTATTAATCGAATGTAGTATGACTTTAATGTATTTCCATTACATATTTAACCATGGCTACGGTACTTTACATGTATAAATATCCAACAAAGGTGAAATCACATCAAATAACGCAATCGTTCCTAGATTACGGAATGCCAAGCAAACATTGCTATGATAACCTGCATGTCATCTGGTTCTCTCTTACCTTGGTCACATCGTAACCCAGTCAATCCTGCAGCACACGAACATCCATACGGATCCGGGAGACAGAACACAGCTCCACTGCAGTCAATCCGACCAGATTCAAGGTTAGTGCAAGATCCTGAACATCCCTGTCCAAATTTACCAGCTTCACATGCTGTATACAATTTTGAATAGACATGACAGAGAGAAGTATTCATAGGTTGTGCTTATTTTTTTACTTTTACAAACATTATTTGTCGTATTATTACAATTCCAAGACAAGGAGAGTGGAAGAAAGGAAGAAAGGGAGAAAGAGACAGAGACAGAGACAAAGAGAGAGAGAGAGACAGTGAGAGACATATATTATAGAGATTGAAAGAGAGGGAGAGAATACTTATGGATTCCTAATTAATTCCATGTATTAATTAGCCAACAATTAAATTTATCTCATTTATGTTTCATGACCCATTTCTAGTAATTCCGATTAGAGACAAGTTATTTTACTTGATCTAGGACTGAGAAACATTCGCAATTAACGATATATATATTATACATGACTACATGATATGGATTAAAGTGCACATTGAAACCCAATCGTAGTTATCATACACTGCAACGTGCTTGGATCAGTAAGTCCTGACTGCTGTGGCGCTATGTAAAAGAATCGGAAGTAGTAGTAGAAGTAGTAGTAGTAGTATTATAGTAGAAGCAGCAATAGTAGTGGTAGGAGTAGTAACAGCAGCAGCACTAGAAGTTGTTGAATTTCTTCTTCTTCAATTTTCTACCTCTTCTATCTCTTTTCATTCTTCCTTTTCTCATTATTATAACTATTATTAAAATTGTTATCTTTAAGTATAATTATTACCATTATTATTATTGTTGTCCCTACCATTTGTTCTAATTACTATTCGCTATAATGTTATCTTTAATATCAATGTTTTTTTCTTGTATTATTATATCAGAGAGTAATAATATAGTATTAATGACTGCTTTGAGAGAAATAGTTGTTTTTATACGCTCAAGGGAAGGTTAGAATTGTGCTATTGCCCCGAGGCGTGCCGAGGGCAATAGCCCAATTGTAACCTTCCCGAGAGCGTTTAAAAACAACTATTTCTCGAATATTAAAGCAGTCATTTATACTTTTATATGCCGAAAAAAAATAGACTAAAAAATAAAAAATAACAAATAAAAAAACTTTTGTCAAAGATGGGATTCGATCTCTTGCGTACAAAAGGCGATGTAACTTAAGTCAGCGCCTTCACCCGCTCGGCTATCGCGCTCTGTTAACATACTTAACAGTTTTCTCTAATATATACATTAAAATGGATTGAAAACGGCTTCGTGTGATTGATGATTCGCGGCTGCTCCATCAATCGGGCCCTTCTTTTACTTTTGCAATGCATATTGGCACGAACTTAGATCAAGATCTATCGGCAGATGTTGTTTTTTTGTTTTGGAAGTTTATTTTCGTCTTCATGTCAACAATGCAAGATAAAATTGTCGGTAAGATCGATCGAGATTCAATTGTATTGAAATTACCTACCAATTATTTGCACACGTACGGTATCCTCGATCGCTCAAACCATCTTTTAACATGTAAACCTATGGAGTTACCATGGAGACTGACCTATTTTCCCAATAACCATGGTTATTGGGAAAATAGGTCTGTTTTTACAGGAACAGTTAAAGTTTATGAATGCAATTTCGACCAATCAGATTGCTGGATTACTTAAGTGAGGTATATAACAAGAATTGTGCCATTATCTTTTTCACTTACCAATTTGGCAGTGGTCACCACTGAAATCGGGAGGACACACACAGCGTCCACTCACATCATCACACACTCCTCCATTGTAGCATGTAGGACATGTGTACTGGCAGCCAGGTCCCCATAGATTATCAAGACAAGCTGTACACATTTTTTAAAGAAGTCATTATATGTATCCCGAAAGACGGTGAACGATTGATTGATCAATAATAAAGAATATCAAAATATAATAGTAAACTATTTGTAGGGATATCATAAATATGGTCAGAAACAAATGGGTTTTTATAAGTTAAAATCTTCAGCTCTTCACACATAATGAACATTAAATATTATCAATCTGTCATATCCTGCTCGTTACGAAAAGATTAAAGAGGGTTTTTAAGTATGATTATTGTGGAGAAGCCAGCCATTAACATGTATCGACAGAAAGCCAGAAATAATTGGATTCCAAATATCATTTGCAACGATTGACATCGAAAGCTCGTTTTTTTTTTGCATGTCAAATAATCGAGTTCTGATGCATTGTTTCATAATCGACTGAACAATGGGCAAAAAATGCATGTTCTGATCAGAGAGAATTAACTGATATCTCCCTGTTCTGATTATCTTTGTATCATTGGAAGACATGCAAAAGAGTACATTATTACCTCTAACAATAAGATTCACGAGTCCTCCTCTATCTGGATCGTCAGAATAGTAGTAATGGTGAATCCCAGCATGGTCTGCTTTCTTAGCCCTACTGATGTAGAGAGCATTCCCATAAACACTAGAAGACAGGTCACTTTGCCTTCCATCTGCGTGATTTAATCTCCACACTAGTGAACCAGTTCCACTAGATAATCCAGGATTCATTACCAGACGAACCTCTTCATCGAGACTTACTGTCACCGTGAAATAATCAGGAGTGAAATGAGCTAAAAGAAAGAGAATACAAATACATCAAAATTGATGTTTCATCTCCAACGATTCCCTGTTACTATATTGTATTTGTTGAAGGAACTTCATTTTGTTTTACACATTTCATGCGAAATCATTTAATTAAGCTTTAATCGTATTCATAATTTTTGTTTATTGTAGTTTTCTATTAACATTTACAGTTTATAAGATAACAATTAATTTCATCTAGTCTCCAGTAAATACGTTTTAACAATTATATATTGAAAGTACATCACTGCAATGCAGTATATAATGGTGAAGTATATCAAATTATTATTTGTATACTTGACGTGTATATGGACCATTTACCAGGTACCCCTGATGGTATTGAACTAATGATTAACAAAACTCAAATTCTCCCTACACTTCGAAATCCAGAGAAGACGTCGATGCTGCCCCATCCCCTAAAGCCTGGATTTGGGATATACAGTATTTGAGATAAACAAAATGGAAAAAAATCCAGAAATACCCTTATTATAAGCAGGTTAACATATTTGATTTTGAAACGTCCTTTTCATAACTGTCCATTTGAAAAAATATATGTGTTCATCTAGAATTCAAGTCGAATACTTTATGACGCACGAGTGCTGTAGGAATATTATCATGGACAATCATCATTAAGCGTTCTAAAGCTTTTGTAGTGCAGTTATCGATAATAAAATATACATAAAATGAGTTTTACATCCTAACGTCCTCTGGAAAGACATTGATCCACATTTTTTATTTTCCACCGATGTGTGAATGTATTGGTTATTATTTATGGGTTAATTATAATTGCAAAGCCTAAATAGGAGAACAGCTAGCATTAATGCGGATGAGGCTTCCCTGGTTTATACAATTTATCGTTATCATTATTAATACTTTATAATCATTATTATTATCATTATTATTATCATCATCATCATTATTATCAATATTATGATTATCATCATTATATATTTTTTGTTCACCGTCATTTCTGATGAAAATAGTGGACGTCTCAGTAGTCCAGTTGTATCTCTCCGCTCGGCATCCGTAAGCACCAAATTTATCTTGATCTGTATTTTGGAAAGTAACGCTTCCCGATGCGTCAATCGTCGATCCTGTAGGCAACCCGCATGCTCCTGCATTATCATCCAGCGAACACCAGGTTGACTGCCTGTCCCCCGTATCCAAGTCCACCGACCTCTGGAAGGACACCATGCTTGTGACGTCAGCCCCATTCAAGATGGCAGCGTAGGATGCTGAGGAGCTGGTATCGTAGATGGGATTGAAGTTGATGCATGTCACATCCAGAATGTTTGCTGCAGGATGGAAGAAATATCAAATGATTTATTCATAAACACGTAGTGCGTAGTGTTTCCTTTTTTGGAAGCAATTGTTTGTTTTTTCTTTTGCTTTCTTCTCTTTCGTCGTTCTTTTTTCGTTGTTTCTTTCCTCGAGAATCGAAGTGGTCAATGTCGAACAAATATTATATGAAGAAATCAACCAAACAAGAAAAGCAAAAAAAAAAAAATTAATATTAACCTGTATTTTGGAAGACATAGATATTGTTCACCTTTCTTTCTTTCTATCTCTCTCTCCCTTTTTTTTTCTCTCTCTCTCTCTTTCTCTCCATGTCCATGCTAAAACAAACGCACAATCTTGCACACCCGAACACATTAAGGCCAACTGACACGGCAATAGAAAACGAATGTCCAAGAATCTCTTTTAAATTACTGCGTATCCTGTGATAATTTTATATTCTTTTTACCAAAGTCATGCAGTACATGTTTAGCGTTAAGTTTTTCTAAAACATGTACAACTTTTCTTTGGACTTAAAGTTCATTTTCAGTATTATTATGGTAATGGGCATGATATTCAGGAAATTCTGAGCGCCATCTAAGAAATGAAATCATTGGATCATATCTCTTGGAATACGATATAGTCCGGCAGCTACTGAGCTACACCGTGTTTTGTTGAAATAAGTTTTTTGTTGTTGATGGATTCTGTTTCCTTAGGCATTGCAGATGACCAAACAGAAAACTGGAACTTTGTCAGTGTTGAACATATTAAGATATGGCCGAAAACATAATGGCCGCCAAAATAGCCTATTTTGAGTAAAAGATGAATTATTTCATAATACAAAGTTTTAAAGCAAATAAACGAGAAAAGAAAACATAATTCAGATCTAAGAACTTCATGAAGTTTGTATAGAGTTTAATATTTCCTTTGCTTGCTAATAATCTGGGAAACGAAAACAATTTGCAGCAACCACGAAGACTATTCATCGATTACAATGACATGTAAATATTTGCTTTGCTTTAGGTAAACATAACAGAAAACTAAATTTGAAGATGACGAAACGAACATGAACTTTAGGCAAATCATGCATGGAATGTTTGTCGTCATAGTAGCAACGAAGATGTGCTTGAGGTGCATAGACAAGCTGTATCGTGTTCGAATCATATTCAATATTTGTTCATGATTAATGATCATGCATTCGATAAGAATGATGGAATAATGTAAACATACACTCTAAAAAATGAAGTGCTAAGTCACGGGTGCTGGGTACATCAGCGACCTATCTCATTTAATTTTTCTTTTGTGTGAAGCACTGCTTTAGCACCTGGAACGCTGGTGCGCCTGCGCATGGAGCGCCAGCACTACCGGTCTTTCTTCAAGTGCTAAAACAGGCAAGGTCACACCTCGGGTGCAATTTCTCGAATTGCACGTGTTTCCAGCACTCATTTTTCTGCTCGTCATCGCTTCCCAAACGCTGCATGCTCGCCAAGGGCTACACTTGGCACGTGTGGTGCAAATTTGTACCCAGCACCCGTGATTTAGCACTTCATTTTTTAGAGTGTACTTCACCCTTTCCCCCTTTCTTATGTATGTTCGTACAGAAATATAAAACGCTTTCAGAGTTTTGTTTTCGTTAAAGCATCCCTATTGTGATTGAAGGACCGTGTCAGCAACAAGGAAGGGTATTGATTAAAAAATATATACATTTTATTGATTTGTTTCCCATTCACCTATCCAATGATTCACTTGTAATACCACTCCAGCAAAGGAAAGAGAGTCAATGCTAATGCGTATTGACCTCTAGCACTGCCTGCTTGCTGTGAGGCGGGTATTATTATATCTATACACATATATACACACCACACATTATTGCATAGGCTGTACACAATCATGTCGATGCAGCTGTAAGCAAAGTTTGACACTAGACTTACAATTCGAATTTTTAAATTAGTCTTTTTAACATCAGTAAGTTACAAAAAATATATTTTACTGCTATTTAGGTGTCATCAATTGCCACTAAAGTACCAATTTTTAGTGAAATCAGTTGAGTTTTGTACAGTGGGGTTTGAAATGTTGAGAATCAAAAGCACAGCTTTTACTACACAGCCAGGATAATGATGCTCCTATGTGTGTGCAATACGGTACAATATTCTTTATCAGGTGGAAAATAAAACATTGAAACCAATATTGAATCATTATTTTGGAACAAAGAGACATGTTAAAAAGCGATAGTTGTATGCTACGTGTCACAAAGACTTTGTTAAGTTTTGCGCTAATATAGCCGAAAAGACTGTTAATGTTAACTATAAACGAATTTATATATTGTGTATTTCAGATTGCTTATTGTGGGAATAAAAACGAATGAAAAGATTAAATAGATAATAAATATTTTGTAGATTAATAGGTCGGGGTGGGGAGAGGGGCAATTTGGCCGCAGGAAGTTACCACGCACCCTTACAAATTAGAAAAAATGAACACAAATTATACATGGAAAATCAGAACTACTTACCACATGTTAATTGTCCTATGAGTGTGACTTGCAAGAAGATAAACCAGTGTAAAGATATTCCACGCATATTAATATCAATCTTTCTTAACAAAGAAAACACTAAACCATCAACTAAAGACCGTCATAACAATTTACAAGCAAGCCAAATTGAGTGTTTCCGTCATTTCTATAAATGTGTGTGGTATCATCCGATTTGATTACTTAATATTTCTTTGCTTTGAATTAGGAATACATTTATTGCATATTGCTTCCTGGTTCATTCTGATTATTGCCTCAGTCACAACACCAAACCGAATCCAAACCGAAGCCAAACCGACCAATTCTTAACCATGGGCGATAGTGTCATTCTTGCTTTGGTCTGTTGTTGATGATCTGATGTTGGTATCTTTGGTATGAAAGGGGTATTAGGTGGGTATTACGTATTATGTTTCTTTAGTTGATAAGATCCTAAAAAAGCTATATGCATAAGACCGCTTAAATGGCCGTTTACCTTGCTCGGCCGTTCAAAGAGCACTTGTATTGTAACACTAAAAACTACTTATTAAGATTCATAAGTATCTATTGTTTGTTTTGAAATATTAAAGAGCATTGATAAGGGGATAAACGAGTTAAACTTTTAAAATGGCAAAGAGCAAACAATGCTAGCACCAAAGTCGTTATGAAGATGCATCAGCACCGCCAAACAATTCCAAAAAGATCGATAAGTGACGAAAAAAAAATCGGCTATTACCCCCTGTGACAATTACCCCCCCCCCCCCCCCCCCCGTCCTGGACAATTAAAGGGGACGTTTACCCTTATAACTATTTGGTTTCAATAAGAGGGTACACACAAAAAGACGGAACTAAGTATGGTGAGTAAAAATCGTAGCTCACTCATTCAGTCGAGAGAATATATATAATAAATGCATTATTTTACACATTTCGTGAATACACCACCTTTCTCTTAGTGAAATTTTACACACATGATATTTTAAGCCAGTATGTGACCCGACCAGCGGCAGGAAAAGGGCCGTTAGAACGGCGATATAACCTGACTACCTGAGTAATTGAAGCATTACTCACCAGTTGGGTTGGAGCGATTTACTAACAACATTTAAATAGGTCAAATAACTCAATAATTTAAAATACTCATTTGCCATGTCACTATAAATGTCAAATTAACAAAACTCATTTCTGTGTGTTATTAATCTCAATTTAATGAGTTAATGCATCCTCGCGGGTAGTTGTCTCTGGGGGAGGGGTATTTTTCGGGGGGTAATTGTCCTTGGAGATAATTGTCCCGCTTGTAATTGACCGGAGGGATTGCCCATGGTGGTAATTCCTAGAAATCATATTTTATTATGTCTATTGTCTGTCTGCAGTAGGTTTCTTTAGCGGTAAGCACACTTTACGATCTGACTACGATCCGATTTCGAAAGACTTTGCCATAGCATTTGATATGAATATTCAAACACTTAAAAATCTTAATAATTGAGGATCTTAGTAGTCGTATGATTAACGAAATCTAAATTTCAAGAGATATCAAGTTTCCGTGGAGAAAACAGGCAAAATCAGCTCAGAATCGTAATAACGTCAGACTAGTATAGTACGATTAACTACGATTAAACGATTAGGAACATTTTGGATGGAGGGAGGGGAGAGGGGTAGTGCCGGTGGTAATATTAGACAGTTACAGAAAATGGAAAGAAGAAAGTTGCATTGAACCTGCATTTTCTGTTATACTTTATATAATTCAAGTGAGGTGATGTTTCGAGTTACCTATAATTATGATGTGTAACTTTTATATCGTTCTTTAGTGTACCCATTATCCAGTGGTACGTTATGATGAAGATAAGTGTACTTCTTTATTGTAATCTTTTTGTGTATACCTTGTCCATGATCGTCCAGAATATTTATTTCACTGAGTGAAAGAAATAACAGAATAATGATCATTAAAACAAAAAAGAAAGATATTGCATCCATGACTCTAATTTGATCCATAGATTTTTTTAATCTACTGTCAGATATGACAGAGGGTCATGGTTAGGAATAAGGTGTCCCACACACCTATACATCCCATATCCTCACGCGCATTACACCCTTCTCTATTCATCTATGTTTCCATATACCCCCCCCCCCCTCTCTCTCTCTCTCTCTTTCACACACACACACACACACACACACACACAAACTCCTCCTCCTCTTCCTTCTCCACCACATTTTTACTCTCAGTTCATCGGTTTCCAGCCCCCTCTTTCTTTCTTTCTCTCTCTCTCTCTCTTTCTCTCTTGTTCCTCCTCCTCCTCTTTCCCCCCTCTCTCTCTCTCTCTCTCTCTGTCTTTCGTTTCCCCCACTCTGCCTCCGTCCTTTCCCATTTTGTATTTGACGAGTTTAAGCCCCCATCACACCTTACTAGTTCTCACTACGTTCTGGAACCGTCCTAGAAAATCTTAAAACGGGTTGTGGTCGGGGCAGAATGTGTAAATAATGTCTATAATACGATCCTAGTTCGGTGTTTTTTCTTAAAAATACACACATAAAAAATATCAAAGGGGGGGTTAACCACCCAACCCCCCCCCCCCCCCCCACCCCGTGCGTACGCGCCTGCTCGTAATCGTTCGGTGTCAGAATCTAAAGCTCGCTATTTACACGTTAAAGAAAACTTCGGCTGTGTTTTTGCGGCGGTTTACCGTGCCACATCTGAACACTCCTTTATTCTCTGACTTAGGTGTACCAATAACAAGCGCCCCTTGACTCGTTTGATCTGACCATTTTTCCACATTTCACGCATCCTAAAATATCCGAGTAATTCATTCATGATATTGATTAAATCTAGGGAAAGAACAAAGGGGGAAGAAAGGATATTGCTAACAGAAATATGTGAGTAAAT